TTAACGTATGATAAGCCTCTTTAAAAGTGAAGCTCTTGGGAGCGATCATACTATAAGTGATCGGATCGACAAACATAAACAATAACATAGAGCCCTCGTCTTGAGCCGTACCTATCATTAAGTTGAGCTCTTTCTTGAATTCACCGCTTTCTAGCATTTTATGCGGTGTTTTTGTGAACAATAGGCCGTCGACCACAAAGAGTGGCGCGAAGTCTATCTTATTGTGCGATGGGATGAGTGGACCGAATGGTAATGCTGTCAACCTATCGATCGGCACTTTTCGCATACAATCCATAATCACTGGCGTAAACGTGGCGTCACTTCCGGTCGCGCAACCCATTTGTGGCGATAGTTTTAACCAAAATGGCATCGACTGCTCCGGCGGTGCGACCGCGCCGTTCATTACTATGGATCCGGACATCATTACAGCGTTTTGAAACAAATGCCTACCCATTGGCGATAATATGAGTCCACTAACTTAGTGGCATTTGTAAAAGTAATGCCGATTGATAGCAAGGGTTCGGCCATTTGGTTGCGTTCAGAGGTTGTGTCCACTTCTTCGCCGGCACTGGTCTTCGGAAGCGGAGGTCACCGACCGGTGGCTCCGCGTATGGAATACCCAAATATGTGTCCACTTCTGTGCCGTTGAATACTTGTGTGAATCCATTGATTACTCCATTCTCTATCGAAACGCTAACAGTATTTGCGTTAATTACTATGAAATTTGTAATAATTAATATAAAAAATAACTGAATTAATATAATAGACATCTATATGTAATTTTTAATGTCTAAAATTAGACTCTAAATAAAAATGTAAATTTATGGATAAATTAAATAATGTTAATGTTAATAATACATGACAATTAATCGTTGAAAGCATATGGGAATAAATGTGAGAAATTGACTGCTCAACAAAACGCGGCAATTAATGTTATGTAATATTGATTTGAACTAAAAGAATAAATAGGTACATAAGAAAATACTACAAATTAATATTAAAATGTCATGACTAAAATTTCTAACAATTTGTAAGCTTTATTTATTAATTATATAATTAATTACCATATACAGTAACAAAATATAATCAAAATTTATACTTTAGTTTATAAAAATTATAATTCAAAATTTAAAAATCAGATTCATGGTTAAATATTAATAAAATAAATAAATAATTTTCACTATCTGAAAATTGTGGCAATTTGCAGATTTACTACACTATTGTGTCATTATTCGGTGCAAAGTTTGCACTAAAACCTATCCATAGACTTTTCGAACAAAACGACCTTGGACAATATTCGTTGCCATAACATGCATATGCGCTCTCACTATCACTACTACTTTACAACGAAGACAACAAAACACTCAAACAGTTTAGTAAAGTGTTTCTAATATCAGTGTTTATAACTTTTCATTTCATTTATAACTTCAGTGTTTTTGCATTTGTTTCAAAATAATTTTATTGGAAATTCAATTTTAATTAAAACCTAAACAACATTAAAATTATGGTAAAAAAGTTGACAATATTGATGGTACCGCTGCCGGGCGTCGGCCCAGTGAACGCCTTCATTGGTTTGGCTGAAGTACTGGTAAGTCGTGGCCATAAAGTGGTGTTCGCTGTCGACAAGACTCTGGAGGGAAAACTATCACCGCTTGGATTCGTTGAAGAGTTGTTCACATCAACGATGGTTGACGTGAAGAAGAAAACGGGAGAGGAATCGGCAAACATTTTGCTCACATCTGGTCTATTGTCCGGCATCTCATCGTTGGACAAGTTTAAGATATTTTTCGGACCAAACTTCACGGGTTGGGCCGACAATATGGCCAAAATGCGAGCCAATGAACCCCAACTCCGGGCTATTATAGCCAAACATAATCCCGACATATATATGACGGACGGGATTATGTGTTCGCCGACACTAATCCATTCGGGAAAGCCATGGGTTTATGTGTTTAGTCCGAACCCACTATACGTTATCAATGATGACAGGACTCCGCCGGCATTTTCGGGTCAGTTGCTATCTTTGTATGATTTTTTTTGTTAAATTAATTGTAATATTTATTGTCTTCACAACAGGTTATCCATCAACTGATTCGAGTCAGTGGAAGGAATTTAGAGATATTTCTAATGATTTACTCACAAAACTATTTAAATTATATAATGAATGGATGAAAGAGGAAGGCTTCCCATTAGTGGCGAACAACAGAGCGATTCCAGACTCGCCTTATCTTAATATCTATGGATATCCCGAAGAACTCGATTATACAGACATCTGTCCGATGCGTGAAAAGTGGTTCAGAATCGACGCCTTTATGAGGAAATCGGAACAAGAATTCAAAATTCCCGACAAATTCCGTGAAAGAGATAATAATTGTAAACTTATTTATCTATCGATGGGTTCTATGGGTTCAATAGATGTGAATCTAATGAAGAGATTTGTGGCAATTCTGTCGAAATCTAAACATAAGTTTATTGTTTCAAAAGGATTTCTCGGAAACACATATGAATTGGCGGA